TTGGGTTTTTTTAAACTCCTAAAAGGAAAGTCCTTTTCAGGGGAACTTGCTTGTTGATGACAGCTCTGGTCCTGTTGGAATCAATGGGACCAATTAAGCTTAAAACATGTAACACTGCTGAAGTGCTTTTGGAACGGGGACCAAAAATTGAAGGAAAAAGCAAGCTTTCATCCTTCACAATGTGCCTTTAATCACTCTGGTTCTGATGAGTTCCTTAAATGCAAGAAATTAATCGGAACACCCTATTAGTTGTGGGTAAACCACAACATCAGTAGATAAACATCAGCATGTTTATGTAGCCATTTAATAAAATGGAAATGTTCAGTTGCGGTTTTTGGTTCACAATTCAATGTGTTAAACGTATATTTCTCCTTATGACTTCTGCTATACATTGACCACAGGCCAATAAACATAGTAATTAGTCTTTAAAAAAATAGCAGCAGTAGCTAAAAAATAAGTATTTCTTTTGTGTAATTATCATTTAAAATATCTAAGATTAACTACTGTATAGTTTCAGTAGCTGAGTTCATATGAATACAGAATTTCATACCCCCAAGAGGAAAAACATTTCCATATATTTTAGTTTTAAGTGCTCCTGGAAATTTCCTTACCAACATTTTGTAATAATTTGTCTATTTGAAATGCTTGATCTCTTAAGAGTGTGTAACACAAGTGGCTCTGATGTTTAGAAAGCAATTTTTAATGAAGGTAACAAAAGGGCACACTGGTAGGATGATAAACTTTACAAAATACTTAATGACTTTCGTGAACTTGGCAAGTTTGTCTTTTTGTTAGGGAGGGATTTGGAAACGTGAGTTAGGTACTTTGGTGTTACAGTTTTTATGCATTATGAGCCAAAGCTGGTTTACTTTTAATTGGTGTCTTTTTAAGCAGTTTTTTTAGTTCTTGCCTTATGTTTTAAGGCTAAAACACAAATAATTTCATTAGATCAAAGAGCACATTATTAAATAGTCCTGAACACATACATAGCTAGGTGTCTTTGACAATTGCTGTGGAATGCAATTTTCATAAATATGATACAAAGAATATGTGTGAATTCAGCCCAAAGGTTTAGCTATGCAAAAGCTTCCAGCATAGCATTAGTTTTTCCATTTCAGGTACTTCATCCAGGGAAATCTTTACTTTCTTGAGAGGGAAGCGTAAGCGGGCATCTTCTGCACACTGCAGACATAGCCTTTACAGCTGGGTCAGAGTTTTGTGATTATAACAGAACAGATTTGGGAAGGGGTTTCTGTGTCTTATTTCCTTCTGTTTCCCTAAGCAAGAGGTTTCTTCTATCTTTCTGTTGTTTTGTTTAACCAGATATTTGAATATGGTTTTATAAAACAGCTGGATTCTTTATTCAACCACCTTACTAATGTTAGTTTTATGAATGCTCTGTAAGATACATCATGTAATCATTCTGCAAAACCTTTTGCATGTTCCCTTTCCTGATGAGCAAGATTGCATCTGTCTTTCTACGAAGTACATCAGAATGTATGGATTCACTGAATGTAGTGAAGATGCATCACTAATGTGGTCACCAACCATTAAAGTGATAGTTATTCTGGATGTGTTAATATCAACAATATTTGGAATATTTCTTTTTTGCCATATTTATCATGACAAGAGGTGCAAATTGGCAGGTGTGTGTTGGGTGGATGCTTACAAGAAAATTCTACGTTTGCTGCCATGCAAAAGTTGTGATAACTATTGATGTCATATGCTGTGTCAATCTGTGCTGCTCATGATTTTCTGAACATACATATGGGTGGCTGGAAGGGTAGAATTTTAGACCAGATCTGAATGTAAATGCATATAGCACCATGGTAGCATCCGTATCTGTCAGGTGGATGGCTGGATTAGAAAAACCACAAAACAGTTTTGCAGTGTTTCAGTTCACTGGATAGGTGTTCATTAGAAGTGTGAAGCACTACAGTTCTGATGGTTCTTTCTGCTGCTGGTGATGCATCTCTTAAAATAGGCAGTAAAAATGCTTGTTCGTGATTCAGTCTGTAGATTTCAGACAAGCAGATTTACTCTTGGAATACAGCAGCAGTGGAGAGAGGCTAATGTGTCGCGAAGAGAAGATTTAATCAATTCACACTTTCTTCCATTTTACTAGCTTAGCAGCATGTAATGAATAGCTGGCATAATGCATTGCAGAGCACACTGCATTTCAGGGATACTCAAAGTATCTGTCAATGTGTCAGATTGTAAAGTGTTTTGAGAATTAACCCACTAGAAATGATGGTGATTTTGCAGGAAGCGGTATGATAAGGCGGAGTCGGAGTATGTGGCAGCCAAGCTGGACCTCCAACACAAGACGGAGATTAAGGAGCACCTCACAGAGCACCTGTGCACAATTATACAGCAGAATGAACTTCGCAAGGCCAGGAAGCTGGAGGAGTTAATGCAGCAGCTGGAAGTGGAGGCAGATGAGGAAAATCTGGAACTTGAGATAGAGGTGGAGCGGATGCTGCAGCAGCAGGAGGCAGAAGCAGGGAGGCAAGCCAGCCAGTCACACAGTGATGCTGGGACAACTAAGGAAAACCCCACTCCCAGTGTTACAGTGCAGGAGAATGAACACGCTAATCATTCTGTTGCTTCTACTGCTATTTCTGGACAGTTGCTTCAGTCTCAAAACTCTGGTACCAAATCCTTTTCCAATATGGACAGTGAAACTCAAGCAGTAAATGTGACTCCAGGAAACTCCCCAGCTAGTTCTGCTACATGACTTACTATGTTCAGATAAGGCAGCCAGTTATGGTTGATACACTCTCTGCAGGCTTGTGTGCTGTATGTTATCGGGGCTTCTGCAGTGCCAGTAATACGCACTTAATTTCTCTTTTACTTTAATATGGTTCTCAAATTTTAAAGGTGCCTTTTTTTTTTTTTTTTTTTTTCTCTCTTCACAAGACTCCCTTTTCGGGTTTACCATCTGTCATCATCATGCTGGTTTAAGTTCATGTTCTAATGCCCAGCTTTTCGTGGGGCTTTGTATCTTCCTGAAACAGGATACTTGGAAGCAAACAGTAGGGTTCTTCCAAAGGCTTTCAGCATATTGCTATTACACATACCTGTTGCAAGCTGTGTGGAGGAGGTACATATCTACAGGAGAGAACATCACAACTTAGACTGCTCCTGAACACATTCTGGCCCCTGACAACTGCGTTAGGATATTCGTCTTCTTTTGTATCTGTAAGGAATTAGTTTTCAATGTTTTTTAATCCTGTGAAACCCAAGTGCTTGCTTTAGTTGTCTTCATAGCTGATGCTCTCTCCTGATTTAAAGGAAATTCGCATATTAAGGCAAATTGCAAAGTTAGTTCTAATGTTTCCTATTTATCACTTTGCCTATTTCTTCCAGATGACACTAGATCAGACAAAGCTATGTATTGCTAGCATTATTTGTGAAATCACAGCAGCTATGATTTAACAAAAATTATGGGTTGCAGTTTAAGACATTGTAGAATGTATGATGTAGAAGTAGAAACACACAAAAGAAAGTATATTACAATTAAAGCTGTGCTATTACAAACATTTTTCCTCTGTCATAGTTGCCTCAAAGTTCCAGTAATTAGCCAGGGATCTTGAAATGAATAATTCCCACAGGATATTGGAATTGAGCCCATTTTTGTGTAACATTCAGTGCGTTTTCTCGCCTGAAGTGCGGATGTGTATCCCACAAGAAGTTCAGCTGGTTTGCTCTGTTGCCACTGAAAGGCTTTAAAAAGCTATTCCAGGTGGACAAAGTCTCAGGAATTAAAACAGAGGACAGAGGCAAATCTCCCATAGACCGATTGCAGCTGCAAACCGTGGGGACTGCGTTCAAAGTTAACTGCTTTGTAACAGAGGAAGGCTGCTTTCATTGTGAAAATGGTTTCTGTAATACCTGACCTGAACATGTCAGTCAGAGTTTATGAATGAGTTACTGAGTGATGCCATCAAGTATATAAATGGGACACTGATTGTCTCTATGGCTTTAATAGTGGAAAAACATGTCACTACATTTCATTTTTATTCTATTAATAAATCAGTGCATCTTCTACGCAGTGTGTTTGCTTTCAGTTGTGATATCTGACACTAATACACGTATTCAGGATTATTTTTCCACAGGAGCAGATAAATGACAGAATCAGATACATCCTTTGGCAACTTGCCACTGTGTGAAAGTAAATCCTTGAAAAAGGCCATTCCAAAATACAAAAACATACGAAGCAAAGACATGGCAGGATATGGCTTGGCAGGAAGCTTTTCAACTATGGCCCAAGGCAGCAGTGGAAAATCTCTACTGGTGAGCCTCATACAGAGGAGAAAGAGGGATATATCTGTTTCCTAGCTGCTCATAATCAGGGCTGATTGAAGTAAGAAAACTCTAATATTTGAGATACATATGAAGCATTGTTCTACTGCTGCTGGTAACACTGCACGAGGATGATAAGAGGACTGGAGCACCTCCCGTATGAAGACAAGCTGAGAAAGTTGGGGATGTTCAGCCTGGAAAAGAGAAGGCTGCGTGGAGACTTCATAGCAGCCTTCCAGTATCTGAAGGGGGCCTATAAGGATGCTGGGGAGGGACTCTTCATTAAGGACTCTAGTGGTAGCACAAGGGGTAATGGCTTTAAACTTAGAGGAGCTTTAGGTTAGATCTAAGGAAGAAGTTCTTCACAGTGAGGGTAGTGAGGCACTGGAATGGGTTGCCCAAGGAAGTTGTGAATGCTCCAACCCTGGCGGTGTTCAAGGCCAGGCTGGACAGAGCCTTGGGTGACACAGTTTAGTGTGTGATGTCCCTGCTCATGGCGGGGGGTTGGGAATAGATGATCTTAAGGTCCTTTCCAACCCTAACTATTCTATGATTCTATGATTCCCTGTTACTTTGCTGGAAGAACTGGTCTAAAAGCTGAAAGTTTCACTGTATTGTGAGAAAATTGTGACTGACTTCGTTTGCTCTCTCTGCAGTTGCAGAACAGCTTGTAGCAACCTGATTATGGCTTTCAAAACTGGATACCAGAAAGTGCAATAATAATTTAATTGTACCATTCTTGTTTCCATCCTCTGCAGCTGTCCCCAGTTGTTCCTCAAGAGAGTCTAAGTCCTAGTGGATAGGTCTGTTCCTCATTACAATTGTATTCAGCTCATGAGGGGACGTACAGAAGAGTTGAATTGTAATGGTATTTACAGGAAGCACATGCATACATATTGCATATAATTTGTGGTTCTCAAGTAGGTTAAAATAGTCCTTTTGAATGCACCTTGTTATCACAGGTAACTGTTTGAACTCCTCATACCAAAAAAGTTCTTTTTTTTTTTCAGTCCAAAGTTCTTTTTGACAACTACTTAAGAATATGAGTTTCCTAGAAGGGAGTAAGTTTATATCCAGCAAAACTACTTAGAAACTGAAAAATTCTCGTATGCCACCCTGACAGTGCTGGTGCTGTTTCTGCCTGACAGGAAAGATGCTGTTGTTACAATCAGCAGTTTCTGCTCTCTCACAAGTCCCTCATCGAAGTTCAGCCCAGTTCTGTCTAACTTCTGAGCTTGCAAAATGAAGTGAACTGGCTGGAAGCCACATGAAACAGCCATGTGAAATACAATAGGCAGCCTAACATTTGGTCGCGCTCTCTAGACAGGGAGCGCAAGAGTTAAATTGTTTGATCTGAGTTATGAAGCCTTTCTCTGACATGTGATATAAACCACTACCATGGTGTCAGTTCCACTTTGGAAGTTCTCAAATGTTTTGATGGGTGCCAGTATGCCGGTTTAACATTCCCCCTATGCCGGAGCCAAGCAGTCCAGTCATAATTGTAACAACATGTGTGCTGGTCAGAAATGCCAGGAGATGATTTTGGTGCAATAAAAGGGTTGGGTTTTTTTCCTTGTTTTAAGGAAAGAGAACAGTTGGAATTGAGGCTCTTCAAGCAAAAGCCATTTCTACCTTTGGAGTAGCTGATACATCTGGCAATATTTGTTGCTGTTGTCACTGGAGTGCATTGAAGGCGGGTGTGCTGTCCACTCAGCATGGTGTATCTCTCAGAAAAATTGAAAAATTAAAATTCCAGCATAGATCAGGAATGGGTGGGCACATTTTTAAGTGGAGGCCTCTTGCAGGTAGAAGTAGAAGTCTGAATGTGGAGTGTGCTGGGGTTGAAACCCACAGCAGGGAAAATAGAGCAACACATGATACCTGACAGTAACACTGCAGGGCTTATCACAGGGGACTTGCAATATCCTGTGGCAATGTAGCCGTTTCTGTGTTGGGCTACCACATTACCACTATGAGAAGAAGTGGAAAACACTGATGTATACTGCTGTGAGAATGCTGCAAAACATGTTATAATTGCCCATGTTGCAGTTTGGCCATGATGTTGAGAATAACACTCCCTCCTCTGTCAAGAAGTGTTTAAATGAGCACAGATGGTCATGGCTTAGCCCGGGGTTCCCATGAATGTCTAGTGCATGGTGTAAAACACTTGGACAATCCCCAATCTGATTGTATATCCAGCCAGATGAAGTTGGGCTCTCAGCTTAGGGTAGCTGTCTGGAGAGATAACACAAGTTCTCTCTCAGCTATTCTTCTGCCTAATACCTTATGCGATGTGCTAGTGTCTTCTGTTTGAGCCTGTATCCCATCTAAACTGAATGAGGAAAAACTAGTGACAATGGAAAGTAGTAACTGACCTAGTGGTTGGGGGTACTGTGTTTCCCCACCAGCTGTATAAAGAACGTGCCAGAAAGGATTGTTCATGGGACAGTTTTCCTATTTTGGGGAAGTTCTGGAACCAAAGAAGGGGGCAGAGCACTGCTGAACTGTCTCCCATGCTGGGATTCCTTCCATTCTGCATTTTCTGCTTAGGACAATAGAATCTGTAGACTTTCTGTTCCTAACACCCTTTCGTCAAGGTTCAAGTTTGAATCAAAACGCCTGTGATTTAATTGTCCCAACTTGAGGCCTGATACTTTACCAGATGCCCCTTGTGTGGGATCTTTGAGCATCTGTGGTCCTGGACTGAGTTTGGTACTTTTGTGTGATTCTGTGCAGACATAGTGTCTTGGATCTCTGTACTGCACTCTTGTTCACGCCATAGTTGAGTATAAAGGTTCATGCAGTTGCTGAGAGCTAGATAAAATTTATCTGCAGGCCTGATCCAAACCAGAAATTGTATGTTCAACCCTTTGGTACTATTGCATGATCTCTTTCTAATTCTGTGGATATAGGTGTGATGTGCAAGGGACAAAGGGTTTTGCCAGTGGCAGTGCAAACAGGGTCTAGAGATGTGGGCTGGTATTATAGAAACCACATGCTTGTTAAGTGCCCTATTTAGGCTTGTCTGCATGGTCCTATTAAAGCGAGTGTTGGCTCCTTTGATGGGGCACGAGACTGGTTTCCTTCATCATTTCCCCTGATTTATGGCCCAGCAGCAAACTTCTACGTCAGTGGGGAAAGACCAAGTAACAAGAGAAGTTAGCCACGTCTCACCCCTCGGCATGATAGGACATTAGATCCTTCAAATCCTTGCCTTTGGCAGCCTGTTAGTTACAGGATTTAAATCATGCCTTATAAGAGACAGGTAGAGACACTAAAAAGCTTGGGCCTTTCTGAATTAGGGCCTGGATTGTGTAGTTAGAGTCATTTTCTCAATTAGCTAAACATAAATCAGTATAACGAGGCACATGGGAGCACTGGGCAGGTTTAGTACCTTGTGTCTCCTGCCTCTGTCCATACCAATCCCACCTG